GGGCAGCGGTCACCTCAGGGTCCCTGTGGCCTGCCCACCGATGGGCACAGCTGTGGGACGCAGACTTACCCTGTGGGGCTGAAACTCTAGCGGCTTGCCGGCTCTGGCAGAGATCTTTATTAAGACATCCCTGACGCAGAGCCCAAACGTGAGTACAAACAGCTGAAGGATTTACCATTGTGCCTTGACATGTCAGGAGCTTCCCTGCTCTGGCAGAGATCTTTATTAAGACATCCCTGACGCAGAGCCCAAACGTGAGTACAAACAGCTGAAGGATTTACCATTGTGCCTTGACATGTCAGGAGAACGGCTCCCTTTGCTAATGTGAGCCATGCTGCTGTGTGCAGGCCACGCTGGAAAGGAGCTCCTCCTGCCATCAGCAACAGGCTTCTCAGGGTGCTCAGAGCCACGCTAAACATCTGCCTTCCCTTTGACCTTGAGGGAGATTCACTCTGCATTGCTCTAACCCCGTGTGCCAAGTGTTGCCTTACTGCCTCTTCCTCCAGCAAAGCATCCTCTACCAGTGCTGACCAGCACCGCTGCTTTGCTACCTGCCCTCCACCTGCGCTTGGGTCACCGACCGCCTTTCTGCCACAATTTCCCAGGAAGAGCAGTGGTAATACCAAGGAGCCCGTTTACAGCCTCTGAGGCAAACAGTAGAGGCTGGTGGGCAAAGCACAGAACCTGTCTGCTCCTGGCTTGGCTTACTCAGATTTTCCCATTTTCAACTTTCTTCTGCCCCAGCTCCACCATACTGGTCCTTTTTCTCCTTGTCCCTGTGCCTTCTTGGTCTCCTGCCCCATCTGCACAGCGTCCTCCTCTCAATTATGGCCCCTTCGAAAAAAAAAGGGGGGGTTGTAAAAGTCCTGTTTTAGAACAAGTATCTTTTGAAGACATGACCAGGAAAAAAAAAAGAATATACGAAGATAGCTGTAGCCACCTTAATACCTTCTCCCAGTTAAACTCCATCCCACCGCATCCTCGCTTGTCTGTCAGTTTCAGAGCAACACACATTCAGCAGCGGGAATGGCATTGCACCCATCTTTAATCAGGTAACATGAAACAGTGCCGGAGTTGCCAGCTTCTCCCAGCACTCGTAGGAAACCAAGGAAAAGCAGCTGAGGCGGTGGCAGGGCATGGCGAGCATGGCTATGGCATGGCAGCTCGTATCTCTACAGCAAGCCACGTCTGGTGGTATTTTGCGGAGCTTGCGGCTCCCACACTGGTGGGAAATGCCCTCGCCTCCTTCACATCGCTGCTCCCAGGGCTGCTGGATTCCCGTGGAGCTGCTCTCTCCCCAGCTTTCAGCAACCAAGGTGATGCGAGGGAGGTGGGCAATTTTCCAGTGCTAGCTGGTGTTACTTGGCAGCCAGAGAGCGTTAGGCAGGGCTATAGTAAAACAGCACAAACCCCATGTTTGGTCTGTCTCCC